CTATATTACTAAGTGGTAATGTAGCTTATTAATGGTGAAAGAATTTAAAATCGGCCTAGTAGTTTTTGAGTTATTTCAATACATACAAAAATACAAATCGTTCCTCTTTAAAATATTAATATAGATAACCTAACCAAAATATATAATCCTAGGCCGGGGGCGCTTCAAATGATTTTATTGTAGTAGTAATAGTTTTTTATAGTTTAAAAAAAATAAAAGTGAATAGCCTATGTGTTCTTTCAGACTATCCTCTACATCTATGCCAAATTTCATCGAAATCCGTTAAGTCGTTTTGGCTATAAATAAATATTTGTCCGCACCTGAGTAAGGGTTTCCCTTTAACGTAAAAGGAATTAAACTGTCCATAAAAAATGTCATAAAAAATTAAAAAATAAAAAGTCATTCCAGTATAGTTAAAACTCTTCAATCTTTTCAAGTACACGTTTGTAGCTAATTTATATTCTGCGCGTATTCAAGTGGGCTGTTGACGAGCTAATTAATAAAGAGGCTACATAATACGCTTCTGAAATTAGTTGATTTTTCTGCTACTTTTTTCACATAAACTGTGTCAATGATTTCTATCCTGTCAGGTATTTTTTTTATTAATCCAACTATAGTTATGAATGTGGGTATATCGGTAGAGTTTTACCTAGAAAGAGATGGGTGGATTGTCTGAAGGTGACATGATTAAGAAGGGAGTGATGAGATGATGAGTTATTTGGAGGACGAAAACCCGGTGCGACACTACGGGAGTAGGATAAGGTATGGGAGATGAATTACAGATAGAAGTCCCAATGGTATTAGGAGTTAGTAAACATGGCATGGTCATGTTTTGAGTAAATAACAAGAACTTGTAAGTATGACTGTGGACACCGGTGGTGGACTTAGAAAGGATGGATTGCGTGAAAGGTGACATGACCAAGAATGAAGAGAAGACTGTTTAACAGTGGTAGAGCCCGCTTTACCATCTTCACACGAATGGGCCGGCTCGCTCGATGTAATACCATAACCACACAGAAGACAGGCGTGAAGTGGAAGCAATTCCGCGTTTCGTCTGATGAGTGTGGTGACGGAGAACTAGTTTCAGTCCCTTTTTCTTTCCACCCTTTTCTTAAGAGGAAAGGATGGGAAAGAAAAGGTGAAGACGCATAGGAAGGGGAAATCTCCTCCTCCGTCAATTAAGGGTAGGCAACACATCTGCAATTGTGGATGTTTATGGGCATTGGTCGTTTTCCATATCGGTGGATTCTGCTGGCTGCTTGCTCGTTTGCCACCTTTTATTAGAAAAAAAAAGGACTGAGATGACGGAAGGTAGATTTTACTAAGTTTTTAATTCGGGTTATATATCGCGGGCAAATGCCAATAGAAAATAAAATCATCAATCTATTCTCGTTTGATAATTATGATACATCAGTATGCATGGTCAATTCATATTGAATCATCTTGAGGAACCTGTTTCCATTATGTCAGCAGAAAGCGGCCCTTTCACACGTCCGCTTCAATATTGACACGACAGATTTTTAAGTAATTGCCGTACCTTAAACAGTCTGTTAGCGTGTGAATGCCTTTTACACTATTATATATAACTTAACGGCATTTTTAAAATACGTGACATTTGTTGAGTTTGGATGATGTTTTATTTTTTCCGTGAAAACATTTTATGTGCGAAAAAAGAAATCAACAAAGTAAGAGACCTAGTAGTAGATAGGTTGTTTAAAGTACTGATCAATTTACTGCCCTATAAAGGTATGTAAAAAGATCTACTAGCATTGGAAGGAAAATGAACAAGACAATTGTGCTTTTATGACACTAAATGATCAATTATTGGTACACTTACCTTACTCTACTTTGTTAACTAGTAACTTTGTAGTACTAAACTATGCAATCGTTAATGTAAGCATCGTTAGCCTTATGGTTATGGTTACGGAGTTGGTTGGTTGGTTGGCTATTCCAATATCTATGTATTTAAAATACCTCTTGTAATGTTATTGAACAAAAAATCATCAACAAAAATACAATGTACTATATTCGGTAAAAGTGAAAGCAAAATCGATGGTAAAATTACAATGAACTTTTAACTGTGCTCGTGTGCTTTTAAAAATGAAAACGAATACGCTTTGATTAATGACTGCAAGTCAGTAGGTTTTTCCAATATCGTTACGCCTATTTCATTACTAAAGTAGAATCTTAGTAATATAAATGCGAAAGTTTAGATGGATGGATATTTGTTAGAGTTCGTAGCCTAAACGGCTGAACGGATCTTGATGAAATTTGGCATAGACGTAGAGGATAGTCCGGGAATACACAAGGCTACTCGCTTTTGTTTATTTTTAATTCCACGCCTACGGTCGCAGGCAAAAGCTAGTAGTTTAATAACATAAGCTTGTTAAAATATACATGATTTATTACAATCAGCCTGTTTGTATAGTCTTCAATTCTTTTTTAATAATAATCATCATAAGCTCTTTATATATCCACTGGGTGGCTCGGTTTTCTTAAGTTAACCACGCTGGCCCACTGCGGTTTGGCTTCAAACATATCTGCATTTCTTCGTCAATATGGACGTCGTTTCTTTCATCGTAAGAATTGAAAAATTATGTACAAATTAAATTTGAAAACCTAAAATTATATTAGTACATGTCGGGATTCGAACCCAGGACCTGTAGATTATAAGTCAAGTGCTTGCACCTCAGAAACGACCCATACTATTTTAGCTTTACTAAATATTGAAACTCAACAATATTAAGTTGAAAAAAGTATTACTTTAACTTGAAATCCTGCAGCTGTGCAAAGTTACGGAGTCTGTGCGATTAGCACACAACATTACAGTTTATTTTTAATTTATGCATTCATGGAAATACTTTGTAAATTGTTAAATACAGGGAGGAAGGAACATTTCAGATTACGTTGTTTTCGGTCATTTTACTTTTAAGTGATGACAGACAAAAAATTTTGAATCACTTTTTCAATATACTACTGAGATTTTTAAGTGTCTTTTTTACAATAAAAATAAGTTATTCTATTTAAATTAGTAATACTGCTTTGTTTAATAATAGCTCAAACATAAAATACAAAAAAGAATCACTACATAGGGTAATAAGTTTCATGCTCAGCATGTATTCTAACTTTCTATTAAAAACAAAAGAAATGGAAAAATAAAATGTGGATAAAATAAAAGTGATCTTAAGACTTGCTTTTGTTTTACAAGAGGCCTCTTTACATTTTTTTTTNNAAAAACGCAAAACTAAAGAGTCGTTTGTTTGTTTCTGTAGCTCGATTGCGGCTCAAAGTGACCCACATGATGAATTCTCATAATTCTCGGGCAAGCACTCGTCAGACGTGCTCCATAAGAATTATGCTGTAACCCTCATCTGACAACATGGATGACATAAACAAGGACCCCTTCCCCCCATTTAAACAAGTTGAATGCGCTCCCCGCAGCCTCCTCGCACGTGCACCCGGGACTAGCAACCCTTTACACGTCCTCTCGTGCTTGCAATTAAAACGAAAACCAGAGCGAAACGCGAGAAAGGCGGAACGCGCGGGTGCGAAAGGGACACCCTGCCTCATTTACCGGAGCACTTTTTATTTCCACTTGCACTCGACAGAGGTCGTCGGCCAATCAACGTACTCTGTTTCGCCCGCGCGCATTGGCCGGTTTGAATAGAGAGCGGTTTTTGAAAAATAACAAAAGAGGGTAGGTAATAGCGCGTTTTGTTTGCGACGAGTGGCGTTTTTGATTTGAGTGCCGCAGCTCGCGGGGAGCGGACGTCTTCAGAACTTAATTACTTTAGCGGTTTGTATTGTTGGGCTGCTTGAAGAGCGCTTATACTAAGTTGGCACTTCATTTCATTTGTTAGATGATGTTTAACATTGTTATTTATTGCACGCAACCCGTTCCCCGGTTCTCGAGTCGAGATATTGCAAAACAAGCAAATTAGCAATGTTTATTTCGCTCTAACAATCGTAGCTACATGACGTAGGCACCGCGCTGTTGGTCGCTGTTTATTCTTGTAGGGCGCAAGTGCGTTGGTAAAGCTTGGGTCTTTTATTATGTATATTACAGACATAACTTTGGTTAACTACTTTTTTACTCGTTCGGTATTGTCGATTTCAAAATTATCTGTTTATAAAAAAAAAAAACACCTTGTTCCAAAGTGTTCTAGAACGTAAGCAATTGTGTTATCGTATCGTTTCTTTAAATTTCATAATTAAAGATGAATTGGGTATCAGGTAGCAACAACAAAGAAGTCTTTTAAACTCCAATTTACTGCACAAATTGACTGGTTGGAAATATGTTTAAAATTGTACAATCGACTTGAACAAAGTAAATTAAAATTAACAGACTTGTTATGCAACAACACATAGGTGTTTTTATTACATTTTTTTAAAAGAAAATTGGGAATAAATTGTTTATTTTTTAAATTACTATTTGTATCAAGTTTAGTTGTACAACTAAAAATATGAATTGGCAATGAAACGATCAACGATCGCAAATCGTTCCACAGTTGTGTGATAGTTTAGTCAAAGGTGCCCGTGCGCCCGCTCCAAGCGGGGTCTCCGATATGTCTTCATTTGTTTTACTTCTTCATTTAATTGAGTATTGTAAGTCTGAATTTCTACCATACATCGCGGTTATTTAAAATATGTCATCGGAAGTCTAAGTGTTGTTTAAATTACCAGTCTCGCATCGTTTTTTTTATAACATAAGGTGGCAAATGAGCAAGCGGCCACCTGAATCCGCCAAAATGGCGAAGCGACTGCTGTCCATAGATATCCGCAATTGCAGATATGTTGCCTACCCTTATCCGACGGAGGAGGAGACGCACATAAAGAGGATATATCCCTTTCCTATGCATCTCCTCCACCGTCAAACCCATTTCCCCTTCTCATCTTTTTCTTATAAGAAAAGGGTGGTGAAGAGAAAGGGACTTAAATCGTTTCTCTAAGTGACTTTTGTTGACGAATCTGATACTAAGCAATTGAATGTTTGTTGTCAGGAATTTGGCGGTACCCCGCGCCCCAGCTCAGGCCGGCAACTCCTCGTTGGAGACCTTCACGACGCTGCAGAAGGAGAGCTGCCACAGGCTGGAGTATCTCGTTGAACGTCAAAAACAGCTCTGTCTGCTCTCTGATAGAGTTTTACAGGTAATTAACACTTGTTTATTTTGATTTAATGCTTTCTTAAATAGTACTTAGGTAGTATCAGGATTTCTCTGATTAAATCTAAACTGAGTTTCTTAATAATTGAGTGTAATTAAAATTCTTACATTTGAAAATAATCAAAGCAAGTAATAAATGTAATAACTTAGGCCTTTTGTGTATTGTAGGCACGTATAAATTATGTTATAAAAATTTATCGTTACTTATAAAATAACTTATGTGAACATAAAGATTATTTACGATGTATAATAAGCCTTTGTTTTTGCTACTTTATGGTAATAAAGGCATTTAACCATGTTTTTATAAGTGGCAGCTAAATATGACGGGTATTGTGTTCGTATGCGGGTCATTTCTTACTTAACTTTTTTTTACTAATTTCCTTGACTTGTTTTAAAACTTGAAAATATTTTGAGATGAGTAATTATTATAATGAAAACAAAAAATATTCCAATTTATAAGTAAGGTTATATTTCGATAATATGCATTTTTTTATTGTCAGTATTCTTTTACGAAAATCATTGACCGTTGGCGCAGTGGTTAACTCGTTATCTACAGGTCCAACTAAAACATGTGTGATGTCCAATTCTCACTGGGACAGCCTGGTTGACTATGACCTAGTCACTCTTAATTTAGGATACCTTCTAGATCCTTAGTAGGGTGCAAAGTTTAGACTGAACTATTTTTTATTTATTATTGTTAGCATTTCTTAAATTCTCAATTGCAAATGTCAAAATACCAATTACCTTACTAAGGCAATCTTGCTTCCTTGATGTTATTAAAAATGTATTCAAAAATATGCTGTAATTGCTGAGATCTTAGGCAACAAAGAAGTGTGTGTTTACGCTTTATTATAATAGTATAGGTTATTGCTTTGGTGGTTCCAGGTGTTGCAGACAGGCGCAGGGCAGGCGGTAGAAGAATGCCAGCATCAATTTCGCCACAGCCGATGGAATTGTAGCACCGTTGCTAATTCTACCGACATCTTTGGAGGAGTACTTAAATTTAGTAAGTACTTTTGTATTTGAATTACTTTTGACAGAGTCGACATCATCATCATCATCATCATCATTCCACTTATCCTACTCCCGCAGGGCGGGCACGATAGATTTTTGTCCTCCAAATATATCTGTCATACGTCATCTCAGTCATCACTCCCTTTTTGATCATATCACCTTTCACCAATCCATCCATCTCTTTCTTGGTTTTTTCCATCTTTTTTTTTTTGAGAGAGTCGACATTATTAGTTATAATGAATTAGAATTAATTATTCATTTCATTCAAAAATTAATATTTCCGTGAGTCTTCCTCTGTCAGGCCGGGGTCGCGGACGTAAGCGTAAGCGTGCCCGTAACACGGCTTAAGACATTGGAAGAACCGAGGGGTTTAGTGGGAATGTCCCCCATTATGGGGGAAGTACCACATAACTACCGCGTCCCGCTGGGCGCGGAGTATGCGTAAGATGCATGCCCCTCGGGTAGAAAAAAAGGGTCTTCCTCTATCTAATCTACACTATCTAAACTTAAAATAAAATTGAATTTTAACAAATAAATTTTGTTATTACACAACCACACTACACTTCACTACTACACTACACTCCACAACTACACTACCTCACTCTAGATAAAATTGTTAAACCGGACCCGCGGACAAACCAATGATGGTTTTTGCGTGGCTGTTTGTCTATATTTGTTAATTGTGATTTATGTCAAATTAATTTGTAATAGTAGTAATAAATAAATTTGTAATAGCTATATTCAAACATTTGAATATGTCTGTATAAAATGCAATTTCCTTATTAGTATTTAAATAATGGGAACTCAAACATGATTGTGGTAACAATAACTTATCACGAACTTAAAGTAACTCAAAAGTTCAAGTATAAGATTTCGGATCAAACTTGTTTTATATTTAGAAGTAACAAATAAATAAATGTATTGTAATGCACTTCTATGTGTTCTGTGCACATGTTCTTTGATGTGGATGTTGCGTTACTCCAAGCTGGAATCAGTCGTCACCCGTGTTTATGTTACAACCTGAATGCACGACAAGCAACGATGCCATAGAACTATGAATTGAATTGACCCGTCATTTGAATAAAATTAATATTTTTTTAATGAGAAGCAGGCGTAATAGACTGAATAGGCTTCACTAAATATACTTCTTTGTTGTATATTAGTTCGTTTTAAGACAAAAATAGGGTTGACAATGTTTGGTTGTAATGTATACTAACATTACAAAGAAGAAAGATTTGTATTTTTGTATTTGTGTATGTATTGAAATAATTCTAAAATTACTAGTTCGATTTTGAAAAGTCTTTCACCATTAAAAGGGTAATTTATCATTGAGTAATATATTTTTTTTACTTTTTTTTTAATTTCACGGGGACCAAGTCGCGAGCAACAGCTAGTACATCAATAAAATCTTTGGTCGGTGCTAGAGTGTCAAATTTTATTTAAATAACGTTTATCAAAGCTTTAAATTGAAGTTTATAATCTTTAAGTAGATACTGAAGAAGATTGTCTGACAACAAAATATCTTGTATATGTTCCTCGCTTCTTGACCACACAAGGTAAAGTACCTCGTAAAATAATAATTAGATTTTCTACCTGCAACCACATGATACGCAGTAGCCTTAAGTTTTTAATTTACTGCTGTTTTTGCAGAGATAACTTCCTGTCTAGACAATGGTCATATATTCATTTTAAATCAAGTTTAGCATAATCAAATGCTTGGAAGCAAACTTTTATCCGACTCGAAGGACCAGTAATAAGATAAAAAATACATTTTAAAATTGTTAGTATGGGTATTTTGTTAGGAGACAGATCAGCTTGTTGGTTTTTAAAATGATTGTATTTTTTTTTAAATAAATGGCGTTGGATCTTAAGTGTTTTTTTATGTTGTAAATAACATGAAACTGATATCGGTGCATATTTATAACAGGCGATAATAACAGGATTAAAGCGATTATGATCTTCATATAGTGAATTTCCTCGAACTAATGTTTATCTACAATTTGGATATCTTCCATGCATTTCGTATGTAGTTTCAATAAATTGTTTACCGCATCTTATTAAATTATGTTTAATATCTTATTGCCGGATCCATTTCTAGACGTTTTCAAGGAACTTCTTCTGTTCATGTATTTTGTTTATTTTCGAATGTCGATTACGAAGATCACGTGTGGACTTGTCGACGGAGCGGCTCAGTTTGTTTAACGTATGCCACTAATAAAGTAACCATTGTACCGTGACCTCTTATAACTGATATGAAGTGAAGTCTGTAAAGAAATGCCGAGGTCAATGTCATTGGTTTACTGTACTTACATCGGTCGCTGAACTTACTCTACGTTTGTCTTAGATATAAGATCCTGATGGTATATAGATTTCGAGTAATTTTTAATTTTATTCATAGATTTGGGAGCAGTGTGATTTTTGAATTAGTTTAAAGGTCATAACTCTTGGTCGTTATAAAAATTGAAAATACGTATAAAATGGCATTAAATAGACTTGCAAGATATTTATGTACCAGTTAAAGGTTTTCTTAAGTAATCTAAGTCTATGTCAAATATTAAGCTCTACAATTGGCTACTTCCATTATTAAAGAGATACGAGTCGAGTAATTTTCTTTTTTATGATATTCCTTTTGCAGATTTTGCAAGTTGTTTTTAGCCTTCTGTTTCTTTGAGATTCTGCAAAGGTGTTGAGTCCTTTCTATTTCGGAATTAATCCTCACGAATAAATGTCTTTTTCCAGAATCCCGTGAATCAGCGTTTGTACATGCGTTGTCATCAGCGGCATTGGCCCACGCGGTGGCCCGTGCTTGTAGCCGCGGCGAGTTGAATGAATGTTCTTGCGATGCCAGGGTCAGGAAGAGGACGCCCAGGCACTGGCAATGGGGAGGCTGTTCTGAGGTGCGCTAGAAACTTCATATTTAATTTTCTAAGTTATTAAAAAATCAAGCAAATATTCGTAGACAAACGGTAAATGTGGTCATCCATATACATTATGCTTATGCAAGAAAATTTTAATAGTGGTAGAACACACTTTAGCGTTTTCGCACGAATGGGTTGGCTCGCCCGGTGCAATACCATGACCACACAGAAGATAGACGTGCAGTGGGTGCAATCTCGCGTCAAAACGCGATATTCCACCCACTTATGAGACAAATCTCATAAGTGTAATGCAGGAGACCTAATTATGTCGATTTTCCTTTCCCCCCTTTTCTTATAAGGAATGATGGGAGGGGTAAATGGATTTGAAGGTCGAAACGCATAGGAAAGGGAAATATCCCCTTAATATGAGTCTTCTTTTCCGTCAATTAAAGGTAGTCATCACGCTTGCGGATGTCTCTAGGCCGCGGTTGTTTTGTCATTTTTGGCTTCATTTTTGGTCATTTTTGGATTCAGGTGGCCGCTTGTTAGTTTGCCATCATGCGGTATACATTAATAAATCAGTAAAAATAAATTCAACTGACGTTTTAACATTTCAGGATATAAGATACGGTGAAATGTTCAGCCGCGACTTCGTCGACGCTAAAGAAGATAAAGATACCGACGTCGGTCTCATGAATCTCCACAACAATGAAGCTGGACGAAGGGTAAAGTTGAACCTTTACTAGTTATTAATTCGTTGGGGATTGTCAACAGAAAATTCACTCTCATGTCGACAATGCTTGGTTTTTCTTATCAAATTTAATAACATTAATTAAGAGTGGAGGTACACCGATAAAGGTAGACCTAGAAAGAGATGTATTGCGTCAAAGGTGACACGATCAAGAAGAGAGTGAGAGCTGGGATGATGGAAGATAAATTTAAATGGAGGCTGAAAATCTGGTGGACCAACAGTACTCGTGTAGATCATTTGTTATTTTATCGTCGATCCAGTTTCGTAATTTGGATGGAAATATCGATGGTTTTTGAAAACGATATTCGTTGTATTCCAGGCGGTGCGTAGCCGCATGCAGCGCGTGTGCAAGTGCCACGGCATGTCAGGCTCGTGTTCTGTGCGCGTGTGTTGGCGGCGGCTGCCGCAGCTGCGCGCTGTCGGCGACGCGCTGGCCACGCGATACGAGGGCGCATCACATGTCAAGGTTATTTCTACAGTACGTGGATACAGGGAGTTTTATTTGAGCTAGAAACTGCACTTATTGATTTAGTGGAAATCTTTACGACTTTGCTTCCAGTCCAGAGTCTTCTAAGACAATTGACTATCTTATCGTAGAATGATTATAATAAAAAAATCTTGGCTGCTTAATGATTTAGAAGGGTAGTTAATCTCCTTATAAACTTTCATAGTAGACACGAATTACTGGAAGGTTTGTAAATACGTCTGTACACTTAAATAATGTTCCTTTAGAAGCAGTAGAAGAAACTAAAGTTTTCATCAAAGTAAGAAATGAATTTAGTCTGCATGATAGATGAAATAATGATTCGACCCCATCGTCACCTTAGGTGGAATCGTGGTCAAGCGCTAGTTTATTTATGATAAAAAATGAATATATTAGAGACAGAAGTACTAAATTTAGACATATTAAAGTAATCATTGGAACATAATAGTAAATAGGTTATGATGATATTTAATTTCAATTGAAGGTGGTAGAGCGAAAGCGCGGTAAGAACGTTCGGAAGCTGAGACCGCTGCACGCGGATATGAAGAAACCGAACAAAACTGATCTGGTCTATCTTGAGGAATCTCCTGATTACTGCGAACCTAACGATGAGTAAGTACGGCATATTATCTGTGAAGTTTTAATTCTACATACTTAGTCTTTTTCAATTACTGAAATGGAATCTATTAATGTTATCTTAACGTGAGAGTAATAAAAGAGTCAAGTAGCTTTATATCTAGCAATGAGAAATTACAAAATCCAAGCAAAGGTGTATTGATAGACCTCCCAAAAAGTGGGGAAAAATGTTTGTGTAATTTTATCTATCCTTTTCATAAAAGAAAAAAGGTGGGAAGGAAAGGGACTAAAGTTGGGCCTAATTGTTTTTTTTTATGTTAAAGTATTAGTAGACTTTTTGTTAATTTTATAATAATTCCTTTAACAATTTCAACTGAGCTCTAGGCTTGTGGTAGAATATGGTTCACAATAGTCGAATAGTGGGATTCCAACCCTCGACCTTAAGATCGGTAGTCCGTTCCACAATCCATTAGGCTATTTTCGCAGACTGGGTATCTTGGGCACGCGCGGGCGCACGTGCAACAGGACGTCTGCGGGGCTGGACGGCTGCCGGCTGCTGTGCTGCGGCCGCGGCTACCAGACGCGAGTCCGCGACCACGAGGAGAAGTGCCGCTGCCGCTTCGTGTGGTGCTGTCGAGTACATTGCGAGGTTTGTCGCTACAAACGAGACCATCACGTCTGCAACTAGAACATAACACGCGATGGATGATGTTGTCTCACTAGAGTCGTATACCAGTTCCGTGGTACACCTGAATCTCGATAAATCAAGACTTATGCGTTAGGAAGCTTTATTTAATTTTCTCTACCAAACTTTTATTAATCTTGTGTACATGTACTTGCGTGTTGTGTAAATTTGATCAAATATTTGAGGCTACGTAGTATGTCATATTCGAACTTTAGAAAAACTCCTAGACGTTTATGGCTTTAATTGTTAGTCAGTTTCTTCTTAGATCTCTCGGATATCAATATTATATGGATCTTCTGACATTTTCTAAAAGTCCATGCCTCTATCTAATATTTATTGAAGTAAACAATTCTTACCATTATTTGCTTTGGTTGTTTTCTATGAATTACCATCATATTAATAAGTGTTTAAATCCCAAAAATGTCAGCTTTATTATCTTTGACAACTTAATTTTGGAGTTTTTATTGTAATTAAAAGGAATACTTGATGTTTTTAGTAATTTAGTGGCGATCGTTACCTCCTTATCGGCACTTATCGCAGCAAATGGACTGATTATTTTTAAATTATACGAACCAATTTCTTTTTAATATTTTTCTGATGTTAAGCTTTAAAATTATTTACAGTATTATATTAACTTATTATAATTTACCGTGTACAAAGCTGTAAATATTAAATAGTTTTGTTAATATTAGATTTAAGTGATGAAATTTATTTTTAAAAAATTTCACTCAAAATTTTGAATTTTACGATATCGAACAATAGAAATGCTTTTTTGCCAGTTGTAAATATTATCTTGGTTTTGTACTTAATAGAATTTATTTTATTCTACCTCAGAAGCGATATTGTTTCGATTGTTTTCTATGTATGTAATGTACACTTGTACTCTGTGTACTTGTATATAAGTGTACATGTGTAATGTATAGTTGTACACGGTGTACAAGTATACAAGTGTACTTGTGTAATTTACACTTGTACACGGTGTACAAGTATACAAGTGTACTTGTGTAATGTATACTTGTACACGGTGAACAAGTATACAAGTGTACATTTCACAAGTACACTTGTACACGGTGAACAAGTATACAAGTGTACTTGTGTAATGTACACTTGTACACGGTGAACAAGTATACAAGTGTACTTGTGTAATGTACACTTGTACACGGTGAACAAGTATACAATTGTACTTGTGTAATGTACACTTGTACACGGTGTACAAGTGTACTTGTGTAATGTACACTTGTACATGGTAAACAAGTATACAAGTGTACTTGTGTAATGTACACTTGTACACGGTGTACAAGTATACAAGTGTACTTGTGTAATGTACACTTGTAAACGGTCTACAAGTATACAAGTGTACTTGTGTAATGTACACTTGTACACGGTCTACAAGTAAGTGTACTTGTGTAATGTACACTTTTACATGGTGTACACAAAAGTGTACATGATGTTACTAAATGCTTCTTTAATTTAAAAATTGTTTTGTATTTTGATATATTTTGTACATATGTATTACATAAATGCTTACATTAGTAACTTATTGTATTAGATTGTGATAGATTTTACCCATATTATAACAATATCTTACCCAATGATAAATTGTAGTTTGTCAATAAGAGCGGTCGCACACTTTGACTAAACTATCGCACAACAGTTGTGCGATTGTCGATTGTTTCGCAGCCAATTCAACTGTTTCAAAATTCAAAAATTGAGTAATATGTGCTTCCATATAAGCATAGAATTCGAACAGACCAAACAGTGGTGCGATAGTTTAGTCAAAGGTGTGCCCGCTCTAAAATTTTCCAAATCTATAGAATAAGTCTGTAAATATTATTTAATATGCTGCACACACAGACTGTTAACGGTGACTTGTATCTTGCGTACTTATAGTCATAAATTGGTTACTACGGGTCTTCGTAGAGAAGTTTTCGATACTTTATGACTTTAAGTGCGAAAGTTAATCTACGCTAAGACCCTTAGTGTCCATTAATGTGCATTAATCTTTTAGGCCTCAAAAATCTTGCCATGTTTAAATTTTTTCAATTGCCAAATTAATTGGAATTCAATTGTTTGTAATAGTGGATAAGAAATTGCAATACTTTGACTCAAACGTTTTGGGATAAAAAAATCTGGTCTTACACAGGATGTCCGAAATTGCGTGTATTATCGAAGATGTCATTTTATGTCAATACTACCTGTTGCTCGTTACTTTGCCCGCGTGAAATTTAAAAAATAATAAGTATTGTCTAGGTTACTCACAGATAAATTAGCTTTCTAACGGTGAAAGAATTATATTAAAATCGGCCTAGTAATTTTTGAGTTATTACAATACATACAAAAATAAGAATCTTTCTTATTTATCAAATCAAATCAAATTTATTTATCAAATTATATTTTTGGTTTAATTTAAAAGTCAATTTTATGCAATTTTTAATGACTTCGTGCCCAGAACAACTTTAATGTAGATATCTCTGAAAATGTTAAGTTTTCTGAGAAGTAAAATTATAAATCACATAGGGTGATACCTTGTGTGATAGAAACCTCATTATACTTTACTTTATGTACAGCACATTAGGACATCCTGTATATTGTGAACGATAAAAATCTGGTAATTTTAAAAATAATGTCATGTAATTTCTGCATAACGTTAGAGTCAAAGAAGACTTTTAGGGTAATCTTCTTTGAATATGAAATAGTTACTATTCTATGTACAATGAATAAACATGTGTTAGAAAGAATTAAATGTTTTATTGCTCTTAATGCGATATTTACTACATAAACTATGACCTTTTTTTTACCCGAGGGGAATGTATCTTTGCATACTCCGCGCTCCGGGAGACGCAGTAGTTATGCGGGACTCTCCCCCCAAAATGGGGAGCATACCCACTAAACCCCTCGGTTCCTCCAACGCCTTAAATCGGGGTTTAAGGGCACGCTTGCGATTACGTCCGCGACCCCGGCCTGCGTCTGCTGCCACTGGCAGCACCCTCAAGTGGGGGAAATTCATTCCTAGGCCTAAGGCGGCAGATTCCCCTGAATCTACCGCCCTGTCGCTGTAGACGAGAAGGACAGGAAGAGGCGAGGGCGGCGGCATATTGCCGCCTTCTCTTCCCCAAGGAAACTATGACCTACTTCGACTTTAACTTAATATAATATAATATACGTTAACTTAATTCTAAGTGGGATTGTGGTCAAGCGCTAATTTATTATTAAGCGTGATTTATTTGTAACTAACTTTCGTCCGCGACTCCGTCCGCGTGGGACTAAAAAAACAAAATTGTGGAGCCCATGTGTTTTTCCAGACTATCCCCTACGTCTATGCCAAATTTCATCGACATCCTTTCAGCTGTTTAGGCTATAAACTCTAACAAACATCCATCCATCTAAACTTTCGCATTTATAATATTAGTAAGATTTAAAAAATGTAGTAGAAAGAAATAAGACAAAATAATCTTTATATATTTCTATAATTTAATTAATGTAGTAATAAATTATTCTCCAAGAGGATTTCCTAGCCAGGGGTAGACTCTCGGGCATGTGTTGCAAATCTGCATCCAGTAACTCATCTAAAACAAAACAAAAACATAATAAAAACGTATTGCTATCTCTATATTTTTAGAGAGAGTAAAAGAGATGACGATATTATGGTACAGTCATGGCATCAGCTAAACTTTTTACACCAATGCAATGATGACTGCAAAAATTATTAGCTAATTGTAAGCTTGTAATTACTAATGTATTATTCAAGAAGTTTACCTAATGCTACAAGCGCGGGCACACTTCTTTTACTAAACTATCGCACAACAGTTGTGTGATTGTCGATTGTTTTGCAGTCAATTAAACTGTTTAGTTGCTCAATTTGCACCTTCAAATAGACTCATCGGAATCAAAGCGAGATTAAACAGTTGTGAGTTAGTTTTGACTGGAAGCGTTCTTATCAGACGCTAGTTTATTTATAAAAAATAATACATTGCTAAAATACTTTTGGATTATACCTCAGTATGTGTTGAGGTGAGAGGTCCGCAGCTGGCGGCGCGACAATTCGTAGGCGTGAAACTCTTGCATTCCTTCTTCACGTATTCGTTTACCGGCACTGGATTCTCAACCCAGTCGATAACTTCACCAGCGCTAACCTGAAATACAAAGATACACCAATATAGCAAGTTTTCTTTTTTCTTTAAAATATTATATTCAGATCGAACATGAATTTAATCACACAGTAACGTTTAGCGCTTTGTTGTGATTGGTTGAAATTAAATTTCAACTAGCGTTCCTTGGCTACTATTAGTGTTAACGAAGTGTCTGTCCAATAAGTGCTCAAGTCATATTAAGTCTCCAGAAAACTTCCGGATTTATCTGTACTCCGTAAGCTATGTAGCAAGCCTTATAAATCACAAGGCTCTACAAAATATAACAATCATTAATTTGTGAATGAATTCGTTTAATATGCAGTTTGTTTATTCTGTTCAAATCACAAATAGGGACCTTTTTGATTCGTGACATCGACAATAATGAAAAATTGCTTACCATGAACGTATCGTTTAGGCTGTTGATTAGATCTAAGAATCGGATCAACGCTCTCTTGACGCCGGGGTAGGCAGAGATGTACCATTCGTGGACATAGAAGCCGAAAGGAGCTCGGTTACCGAGGTAATGCCTCTCGAAGTTAGTGAGGATGAACTTAAACCACGCATCTTCATCATGATGAGGAGGCCTAGAAGATGAGAATATTCATGTAGATATTTAAGAGGAAATTTGAGGACTAAACAAATAATCACGATTTATTAACAACCATTGTACTCTTAAACTAATATACAAATTGAAGAGTAGTTACAATGGTTTTTTGATTTCCTTTGATTAAAGATTGAATTTTGTATCTTAAATATAGTAAGCAATATGCGAGATCTCAATTAAGGAATACGTGTTATTGCTAATTGAATTTATAGATTTTCTACTTACACAAATACACAAGCATCGACCATGGAACAAGGGAATCCATTGAGATCGGTCCAACTTATCATCGGGAGCACCCAAACTCCGGGAACTGACGCAGTCGGGCAAGGAGGAATGACGCAGTCTTGTGTAGACGCGTAGTCCAATGTGTATGGCCACTTGCCGG